ATTTATCTTCAATAAAAAGTAAATTTAAATTCCACCTTTTTACAAAAAACATATAAACGAAGACAGCTTATAGTACATAGAACATACATTTCATAATAGCACTTAAGACTTATATACCGCTTCACAGTGCTTTACAGATCTCTCTAAGCCAGTGTTTCTCAACCTTGACAATTTTAAGGCATGTGGACTTCAACTCCCAGAATTCCACAGCCAGCAGTGCTGGCTGTGGAATTCTGGGAGTTGAAGTCCACATGCCTTAAAATTGTCAAGGTTGAGAAACACTGCTCTAAGCGGTTTACAGAGTCAGCCTATTGTTTCCAACGGTCTGGGTCTTCATCGTATCTCACTGTATTTTCCTTTATTCAGGAAGGCTCCCTATGAACTGAAACGCGAAACCACGATTTCTTTCCATCGGACACCGCTAACTTAAGTCTGTTGCCGCACGATGCGGCAACGACAACCAATTTAAATAGCCTAAATATGATTCAAGTTCACAGAATCTAACCTGGCGCCTCCGGAAGGAGACCTCACCTGCAGAACCAGCATCCAGCGGGCTGCAGAAGGAGCAACCTCTAGGGCGCAGACGCTTCTGTTCACCGCCTCTCCGGCTTCACTTCCACAGGTCGCCGAATTCCTCCCCTTCCACCTCGCCTTCCTTCAGCTCCATTGTCTCAGTCCGTTTCTCACATTGCACGCCAAGCCGCGGCTGTTGTTATTCCGTTCCATGACGTCACTTCCGCCGAAGCGCACAGGAGACTCAGACACGGGGGGGGCGGCTCTGCTGCTACGATGACCTCATCTGGACTGCAAGCCTCCAGAAGGCCACGAGGGGGCAACACGCGGCAGCAGATACTAGACTTAGCTGTCTCCTTGCTGCCCTCTCTCCTGGAGGGTTGAAGCTCAGGAACAGTTCGAGACCCCGGGACAAGGGCTTAGTCTGCTTCGTCTCCACAACCTCTTCTTCTATCCCCCTGCTTCCTTGTATACGCAGTGGAGAAAATTTAAAACAATGCAACACCCTACACCAGGGGTAGGCAACCTTGGCTCTTTTATGACTCGTGGACTTCAACTCCCAGAATTCCTGAGCCAGCCATGCTGGCTCAGGAATTCTGGGAGTTGAAGTCCACGAGTCATAAAAGAGCCAAGGTTGCCTACCCCTGCCCTACACAAAGATTGGTTGACAACGGGCAGAAATTGCGAAGAGCTTCCCTCCGGCTTATTCTGCCCTCTTCTGGCGAAATCAAAAAAGAAGCGGAAAGAAGGGCGTGAGCCGACGCGAATGAAAAAAGCGCCCGCCCTCTGCCGGGCCGCCGCAGAAGTTAGAGAGGAGGCGCGGTATGATGACGTAGTTGCTGAGCCGCAACACTGTGCTGCGATGGCGGCTCCCTCGGTGGCAGCGTGAGCGTGAAGAACCGGAGGTCCCGGTAACTGCGGGCTGATTGTGGGGGGGGGGGGAATTCCCAGAGATGCGAAAACTCCCCAACCTCGAAACAAAATGGTTTCCTTCCCCTGGTTTAGTTCTTCCTTTTTTAGCCTCAATTCATCCTCTTTTCTCTAGTACTGGTAGGTAGACTGTAGCGTTTTAATGGCAGGAAGGCAAATCAGGAAGAGCCGCTTCTTTCCCCACCTTGTTGGGGAAGGAGTATTAGATTAGATCAGTGTTTCTGATCTAATCTAATACTCCTGATCTGCAGGAGTATTAGATTAGATCAGTGTTTCTCAACCTTGACAATTTTAAGGCATGTGGACTTCAACTCCCAGAATTCCACAGCCAGCATTGCTGGCTGTGGAATTCTGGGAGTTGAAGTCCACATGCCTTAAAATTGTCAAGGTTAAGAAACACTGGATTAGATTAACGCTTCCTTGCCTGCCTGCATTGTTAACAGCAGGCAGGTGGCCCTGGAAAGCCTCCAAGTGAAGTCTGAAAGCAGCGCTTTTCCACGTTTGCAATCATTGGTATTTGGGGCAATGTTGCTTCCGAAAAACGTTTCTTGGGGCAGTCTTCCACTGGCATTCATGCTATCAATGAATTCTAAAAGCAATTGCAATAAGAAAAAGTGCTCCATTTTATCTGTTACCAATCTGATTTCTTTTTAAATGGAAAACCGGGCGGCCGGAATTGAGCATAACCTGTATTGTCATAAACACAGTTTATGAAGTCTGACTATATCATTGAATCGGCTATAAATTATCAATTGCAATTTACTAGGTGTGCGATAGTTGACATTGAGACTTTTGCTCACATCCCTCTTCAGAGCTTGTAACTATTGACTTCAAGGAAAAAATATAAACCTTAAGTTGGCTGAGGAGCGTTTGAGCAGATTTTCTAGTTAGATTTTAAAAAATTGAATGGAAAAGAGTAACAGGATAACAGAGTTGGAGGTACCTTGGAGGTCTTGTAATCTAACACCCTGTTCAAGTAGGAAACCCTATCTCATTTCAGACAAATGGCTGTCCAATCTCTTCTTAGAAATAGAATTCTTGTTTAAGATGGAATAACAAATATATTGTGGATTATTGTAGAATTTTACCACCTCCCATTTCAAAATGAGTGAAACAGCCTAGTCCTCAACAGTAATTTGAATTCTAAGATTTATTCTATGCATTCATATTTTAGATAAAAGAAGATGGGAGAATTGTACCCTTATTTATTTTGCTATTTTAAACAATCTGTTTGCTTTTTATTTTAAAAGGTTGTATCTAGAAAATTCTAGCCTTATGAAGTTTACAGGTGGAAGATTACTTTCTGCTTCTGGAGAAATTTCTTTAAGAAACAATGGCAAATTACAAGCCAGTAATAGTTCAGACATTTCCAAAGCTTGGAGAAAAAATTACAAAGGATACTTTGTATTGGAAGAATTACAAGGTAATAACATAAACTGTAGCTAATTTTAGGAACTGAAACCGATATAGTCAATTCTTTGTAAATATTACCTGATTTGATTTTTTTTTTCATTGAAAAAAGAAAAATGCAAAATTTGTATATCACTTCTGCACTCTCCCATTCCTGAATGAACACTGATTTAACAAATCCTCAGTTTAGCTGACTTTAGAATTCGTGGACTAGATTCCATCCAAACATTTCTCACAAGTGCCAGACAAGTGGGTTGCATTAGAGTAGTTTGGACAAGATAGTTGAAGTTATGGTAATTTAGCCTACTTTTTACAAAACTACAGCAATTGTGCAAATTATGTTAATATAATGTTAATTTTTGACAGCCAGTTTGGTCTAGTGGTTAAGAAAACAGGCTAGAAATCAGGAGAGTGTGAGTTCCAATCCTGCCATAGGCATGAAAACTAGTTGGGTGATTCTCTTTCAGCCCACAAGGTCAGCCTTGGCTGTCAGTTCTTGTCTCAACCAATGGATGACTACTCAGTTGATCTGAAAAAAGTGGAGCTGGCACTTGCAGGAAAATGACAGGAAGAAAAATAAATAAATTTGCAAAATGAAAGTACTACACAAGTGAAGTAAATCATCATGAGTATCTATTTTCTTATTTTATGAAATTTGGGAGTAATTGACATTCTTTCCCCCCCAAATGAGCTATTAAAATGAAGTTTCACTGTACGTGAATGCATTTGATGTTGCAATGCTGTGAATAAAAATATTTCATTTTTAAACTTAAAGATTGTCACTTTTCTCTTTCAGTCTTTTATAAATATTTTTTCTAATAACATTGCCTTAAAAAGGATAATAATGTTTAACATTGTGCTACCTTTTTTCAGACTCCCATTCAGATAAAGGAATTCGGTGCAGTGAATAAAATAGACTTTTCTCCAGTTCCTCCGTATAATTATGCTGTCACAGCCTCATCAAGGGTAAGATTTAAGTTAAATTTTTGCTTTAAAATATCTACATTTTCTCACACTCTAATTCTACTTTGTATTGTAGTGAATTTCTGCAAATTAATTGGTGTACCATCCTATTTTTATTGTAGTAGAACAAATGTGCCCATTTGCTGAAACAGGCAAAACAATGCATAGGGAATTCAGTTCTATTATATGGAAAGGTCTTTAATAATTCTATAGTTTTTTTTCCTGGTGCATATTTTTACTTAAGTTGCTCCTTCCACTTACTTTAGTAGCAAGAGCAAAGAATTTCTTTTGTAGCCTGTAGGTTGCCTCATAGAACTATCTCCAAGTTGTTTGATTCTTCCCTCTGATATGCAGGTTGATGCACCAGCTCCCACCTCATCTTAATAATAATAATAATAATAATAATAATAATAATAATAATAATAATAATAATAATAATAATAATAAAGTTGGAAGAGATCTTGGAGGTCATCAAGTCCAACCCCCTGCTCAGGCCAGTTTCTTCTTAAAAACTTCCAGTGTTGGAGCATTCACTGCTTCTGGAGGCAGGTTGTTCCACTGGTTAATTGTTCTAACTGTCAGGAAGTTTCTCCTTAGTTCTAGGTTGTTTCTCTCTTTGATTATCTTGGTTTTCTGCTCTTTTTATCTTTATTTTTCATTGAAAAATTTTCATTGATTGCCAGGTCCCCTGAAAGTTTAGGTAGCCCCTCATTCTTCTTGGCTGCTTCACAATAGTTATCAGAAAGTTGGAACCACCATTTTCAGAATTTAATCTTTCAAGCTGCTGCTCACCAGAAGCATGACTGTCTCCTCATACACACACCTGTACTGCAAATCTTTCCCTTCCCTGGGATAATTTTCAACAGTTGCAGTGGAGACAGCAAATATTCACTCAATTGATTTACTCCTCAGAGGAGGTAAAATCATCCTCAGCCTTTTTGAGGAGCTCAGAGATCCACAGATAGAATGAGAGAATGATAGTTTCCTTCCCCTCAAGGGACTAATCAGTCATCCTCCACCACAGTAACAATTAGCTCCAAGAGCCTTAAGCTCATTAGTCCCCTTTTCATTCTGGCAGAACCATGTTAAAACTCTAAATTGGTTAATCTTACTGAAATTTTGTTCTAGGGAAAAGTTTTGTAGCCAGTTGTGGAAATCTGAATTAGTAGTTATCATTGGATTCATAAGTCATAACAAACTAGTTTGGTCAAGAAGAAAAACAAAGATTTTGTTTTGTTACCTAAGAAAAGGAACATGTACCATTCAGGATCCCTATGCTTATACTTGTGATACCAAACAATGGTTTATCAATAAATGTGAGTCTCTAGATATATCTGAAAGAGAACTGTTTCTTCAGAGAAGAGGTATTCTATGGATCATTGGTCTCAAACTCAAAATCATCATGATGACTATATGATGACAAGTTTATTAGTCCAAAGGCCGTAATAAGGGACCCTTTTCATATCTTTCTGCAAGTGTTTTGTTGTTAGTTGCGAAGTCGTGTCTGACCCATCGTGACCCCATGGACAACGTTCCTCCAGGCTTTCCTGTCCTCTACCATGTTCTGGAGTCCATTTAAGCTCATGCCTACTGCTTCAGTGACTCCATCCAGCTACCTCATTCTCTGTCGTCCCCTTCTATTGCCCTCAATCTTTCCCAGCATTAGGCCCTTCTCCAGTGAGTCCTTCCTTCTCATTAGGTGGCCAAAATACTTGAGTTTCAACTTCAGGATCTGGCCTTCTAAAGAGCAGTCAGGGTGCAAGTATATTGTGCACCAAAAATGAAGAAAATAAAAAGGATCATAGCAAGTTGTTAAACACATTTATTAAAGAAAGAAAACATTGCTACAAATCAGAGTTACCTTTTGGCCATTTCAAAAGCCACAGTAATGTCTGTGCAATCAAGATCAAA